CCGCGGGAGAGCGCAGGCAGATGCATCGAACTGAGAGTTCAAGTAGTCCCTAGACCCTGCTTTCCGCGTCTCTGACCTCTCCCAGCGTAGTGAGCATTCTGTCCTGTACCCCTTATATCAATTCACCACCTCTACATTGATTGCCGGGGCTCCCCTTGCATCCCTGACAGGGATGCTTCGGCAGAAATCACTGGTTGTCCTGGTATCGCAGTAACGCCCTGGCATCTCCTCAGCCAATCGAGTTCCCCGGTTGTCACCAAAGCGCAGAAAGTGTCTTGGCTGGCTAACTTTAGACCGCAGGCAGAGTCGTCAATGTGCTAATTTTTTTGTTTGATACCTTGCTAATTAGTAACTCGTGTAGCTAGGTGAACCAAAACATAGAGCAGTTCTGCGCTCATATGGCGCTTCGTAACGCTGAAAGAAGGCACGTAATGTCGGCGTACTCTCGAAATATCAAATTGGTTATATGAAGTACCAGTTATCGTGAAAGCCAAATGAAGAGCTAGCATTTGCTGATGCCTATTGATCACATGAAACCAAAATCATCACTGGGGAAAGAGTTGGTCGGGCACAGATCCATTTCTTCTGTGATCTGTTATGCGTTCGACTTCCATACGAAATGCGTAGCCACTAAAATGCGTGTTTGAAAAATATCTAATGAGCTACGTACATGTGTCGTCTAGCCACCAAAACTATTTATTGGTTTGGTCTCGGCGGATAAAACTCGGAATTCACAAGACATTTGGTCATTGGCAGACTGCACGATCAAGCTGGTGCGGTAACCTGCTGGAATTCGAATTTGAAGTATGGGTGGAGGGTAGTGATTGAGAAAAAGGAAAAAAAACACAAGAAGTAAAAAATTTACATCCTCGTTCTACGCTGTGGCGGAGTCCATGACAGAGAAATGAGGGATGATGGGCAGAGAATTAAACGTTGGAGCGAGAGAGCATATACGGTATTAGACTGAGTCATAAGTAGGATCATACCCTCACCATACTTTCCAAAGAAATGCTTGTTCTTCCCAGTAGAGTACTTTTTGGAAACCGTAGTTTTTTTCGTACTACAAATTCAACAGCAGCCATGCGGATTAAGCAGCGTTTTGGAGCCTAATGACATCACTTCTGGGTTTCTTCTATTTTAACGACATACCGCATCATCAAAGAGTGCTGCTCCTTTTGAGCCTAACTTATAAAAGAACACTACCCTAATCGTGGGTTGAGCCTTTCAAAGTGCCATGCATCCCGTGCTGCCAAACTCATAATAATAATCACTGTCACAGGCAACCATGGCTACAAGAGTGCTTACCTGTGATGGCGACTAACTGCCCATGATACCATATATTCTTCGTCTTGACAGGTATTTTGAGACGAGAGACTTCCAACAGTCTGGAATGATGAACTAGCAACAGCGGATGGTGACTATCATTAACTGAATACGTGTTGATTTCATTATTTTAAGCAAGGAACCGCTATAAAAACACTTGAGGAATCACTTTGTTCGCTTCAGCAAGTACAGGCTTCAAAGTCTCGCCTCAACTGACATCACCTGAGGAGAAGGTGACGTCGACTTCCTTCCAGAAATGGTTCACACTGGGAGCGGCGCACAATTCTCAAAACGACAAGCAATTGTTGGATCCGGCCAGCAGACACACGTGCACGCCAAGAGCAGATATCCAAAATCTGTCATGAATGGGCAGAAGTTACTTGCGAAACGAAGACACCTTGATCATGTGTAAATCCGTCAGAATAACCGCCCAGATCTACCAGGAAACAATTTTACGTGATGTGCTCCTTCCATGGACTGTTTCGACCTCCAGCAAATGTCAGTGCTTCTTCAGCAAGACTAGGCGTCTGCACGCTCTGAAAAATCTACGCTGGAGCTCTGCGCAGTCATTTCTGCGACAGTTATTTTCCAGGTTACCGGTCATAATTTTTGACCATCCAACTCGCCCGATTTGAACATTGATTTTGCGGTCTGGGGTTTTTGCAGGAGAAGGTATTTTCTAAGCAACATCGAAGTCTGAACCGCCTTGACGCGTTCTTGATGAAGGTGAGGAAGGAACTCGACGCCAGTCTTTTGCTTCCCACCCACAGTGATATTAGTGAAGAAGAGACCTGCCGAAGGAGACCATTACCAGCACTTCCTTCTTCGGTGATGTGTTGTTATCCTCTATTGTATATGAAAATAAATTCTGAAGATGTGCCACAATGATTACGGAACATGACTTCTCCTATGTAATCATATGGTCTAATAAATCATCTGCGCAACACTATTATAAAAGATTGCTATATACTGCGACAAACACGGTCGCAGAAGCGCTTTGGTTCCACACATAGCTAAAAATACCAAAACTCGCATTGTCGTCAATGTGTTATCGGTCCTCCTAGCCCGCTCTGTAGAAGTGTTCGCATTGTTTGACTATTTGATGTTGACAAGTATAGAAGCCGAACGATGTCCGTTAGAATTTTTGTCATTTCGTCACAGCGCAAACTCACGACATCAATTCAAAGATGAGACAATTCTTGCATAGCAAAGACTCTGGCAGGACGAGTTCTGCTAGCCAAGTTTATGACCCGAAAACTGCAAGCTCTTCAGGAAAGCGGTGAAAAACAATGTCACTGTAAGGACCGGATGAAATTTTTTTTTGAAAAATTCTTGCCCGGTGATCACGTTACAATTCCTTAAAGGAAGTGGTCACGATAATTCTCATAGGGACGATAAGGAAAGCTGTGTACTGGAGTGGATAGGGGTCCTGCCCAATGTTAGAACACGTGAAGTTTCAGTGGCAGTGGCGCCTTATCAACGGAGTGATAAGGCGCCGAAATCCACTTCCGTTCAGCAAAAACCAAGACTTATCGATGCGATAAGAGCGTGCTAGATATGATACCGTTATCGTTATCGTCCCGTTTTCATTCTGGAGTGCACCTCTTATCAAGCAGCCGCACCTTCTTATCTCATCGTATCATATCTTCCATGGGCTTACACTCGTCCAACAATTACTGCCTCACACCTTATCGATTGATAACGATGATGAGGGTAGCAAATCACTGATGAGGGTAGCAAAATCAAGCGTGGAAGTCAGCGTGATCGCTTCCTCTAAGTATTCTCATGAATCTCCGAAGATACTAGCGAAGCAGGAGTACGTCAGCGAATTTATCATTCCAGCTTAGCGATGGATTGAAACTAGGTAATTGTTACTACTTCATCGCTGTCGGTTCATAAATGTGGGAGGAAGAGCATAGGACTAACGCTACACATATGGAAATTAGGGAAAAGCTGTCACGTCATCAAACTATCCAGCATGATATTATTCGTCGACAAGAAGTTGTGCCGATTGGTGGACTTGTTTTGTGGTAATTCTGTTGCCGAACCCATTTTCCGCTTTTTTCTAGGACGGAAAAGTTACAGATAACGCCCAGTTTGGAAGAATCGTTCGTTTAGTGAATGTGGTCCATATGAACCCGAAAAACCACTTGAAACAACACAGTTTTTTTTTTCGAAAGTTGCTCTTCGAAATGAGATGAAATTCGGAAGGGGTGTGTCCGCTGGTGGATGCATGACAGGTCGGTCTGAAGGAGGTTATCATCTTCTGAGCGGCCATATTCGATCATATATCACAAAGCACTGCACATATCGTAAACATCTACAACACCATTTCTTCTGGAGCCCGCCTTGACATGCGCGCGGTAGCGAGCGGAGCGAAAGTGGTTCACAATACTTTGTACTATTTGACAGGTGAAATTATTTCTTATCACTAGGTAATACTGGTCAGGCAACCAAAATGTTGCATGACGTTGTTTCTATTTGGATTGGGATTTTGGACGGGTGATTACATAAGAAGCGAACCCTTGTTTTTTGTTACGAGTTCAGAAAAAAAGAGGTTTAATTGAAGTTGTCAAACAGTCGGTACAGTCCGTACGTGGGTATATTATTCTTCGAGCTCGTAGCTAGTATTAGGATGGTAAGAAAGTCCTGAGCCGTTTGACACTTTTTACTTTTTTATTCCGCGTACAATGGAATCTACTCAACAATATAATCACCATTGTTACTCACTACAGAGTCCCACCTAATGGGCAGGTCAGCCCCT